TGTCTAAGTGGTTCAATCAGAATCCAACTGTATGAACCATGTGTGTGCCATATGGTACCAAAACTGGGTTTTGTTAAATTGTTGGCAAGTTTTGAATGAAGTGCTTCGTTTTGCAAAAGATCTGAGATGTTCTGATACTTGTGTGTGTGGATGTGTGAATTGTGTGTAGTGTTTTGACAAAATGAGCCTTGTTTTTAAAATTATGCCTAAGCAATCATTAAAAAAAAAAAAAAAAATAAAATACCCTCTGGTTCCATTATTCCAGTACCTCCCACAACACTCTCCCTTCCTTTCCTTTTTCTCTTGTGCACGGCAGTGGAAGGTTTATGACCTCCGACCCTATGTTATACCCCTCATTCAAGCTATGGAGGAGGCCTGTGACCTAATAGATGCAGAGTCTGTGTAAGGGAGCCCGGATGGATTCACCATTCGAGAAGATTCTTTGTAAATGGACATTGACTGTGATATGGATGAAGTGGCCATATCCAGCTATACGAAGAGATGATGCTAAGGTGTTTTTTTCCCGTCTCCACAAAAGTTGATGTACTATATTGTATTTGAGATATGTTCTGATTTTCAGTGCAAAATGCAGCCTAATTGCAATGGTGTACTGAAGGATTTTACGAATGTGGTGAGAAATAAATATTTTCATGAATGTGCAGTACTTGCCTCATGTGTTGTGTTTAGTCAATATATTCATGTACTTTAACAATACATAAAAAAATTAAAAAAAAACTATCAAAAATATAAATGTTACAAGTGTTTAAATGGTTCAAAGAGAATCCAACTGTATGAACCATATGTATGTGTGCCATATGGTACCAAAATTGGGTTTTGTTAAATTATTGTAAAGTTTTGAACGAAGTGCTTCATTCTGCAAAAGATCTGAGATGTTCTGATACTTGTGTGTGTGGATGTGTGAATTGTGTGTAGTGTTTTGACAAAATGAGCCTTGTTTTTAAAATTATGCCTAAGCAATCGTAAAAAAACTGTAATTGCTATGGTGTACTGAAGGATTTTACAATGTGGTGAGAAATAAATATTTTCATGAATGTGCAGTACTTGTCTCATGTGTTGTGTTTGGTCAATATATTCATATACTTTAACAATATCTCACACATTTTTTTTATCAAAAATAGAAATGTTACAAGTGTTTAAGATTGTGCACAGCAGTGTGTAAGTGGTTCAAACAGAATCCAACTGTATGAACCATATGTGTGTGCCATACGGTACCAAAACTGGGTTTTGTTCAATTATTGTAAAGTTTTGAATGAAGTGTTTCGTTTTGCAAAAGATCTGAGATGTACTGATACTTGTGTGTGTGGGTGTGTGAATTGTGTGTAGTGTTTTGACAAAATGAGCTTTGTTTTTAAAATCGTGCCTAAGCAATCGAACTGTAAACCTTGTTTAAAAAGTCTTAGATAGTTGACATTTAGTTAATTTATACAGCGACTGGTTCAGCAGTGCAAGTGGCACCAAATAAGAATCAGTTGTGTTTGATGAGCTGCAGTAAAATGTGAGTCAAAAATTACCTGTGAAACTTCAGCCTAGTTACATGCATTTCTCTTTCTCTCTAATTCTGTCTTCATTTCTCTCTAGCCCTGTCTGAGGCATCACCATGGAAACCTCTCGGTTCTTCCCTGTCCAATGGGAAAATAAATTATAGTTTCCATTCACTGCCTTTGAATATACTATAAAAACCAACTAGCAAGATCTCAAGTGAAGTGTTATATGCTCCATTACAGTTTTTCTCAATTGTTAAAACACATTTCTTGAAACCATCACTCACTTTCTCAAAACCTTAAACACAAATCCAAATACTCAAACTAAATTCACAGAGCCCCTGACTCTTCTGGCAAAATCAAACAATCGCTTCAAAACCATTTCACCTGTAATCAAAATCAAACGGTGCTCTCAGATCTCTCGCATGTGTTTTGTTGTGAAATGTAGTTTGCGGACCAGACAGAGCTGTCGGCGATTCTTCCTATTGTGAAGTCATGCAGTGTGAAACCCCCTGTCGCCGATCCATCGTGCAATGTGAACACAGCAGCAACTGAATGCTACCCCAGATAGTCACGCAGTGTGAAAACAACGGCGATCCGATGAGTTTGAAAATCGTGCAGTGTGAACTCGGCATTAGATGAGCTGAAATAAAAGACATATACCCCCGGTTTCACAGACAAGGCTTACGCCTAGTCCCAGACTAAAGTGTAAGTCTGAGCTGTTTTAACTGAAAGAAACTTGCACTGACTGGTCTTAAAATATATCAGTGCCTTTGTTTTGTCTCAAAATGCACACCAGTAATGTTTTTTCTAAGAATGAAATGAATCTGTCTAAGTTTCATGAAAACAAACGCATGCTATGAAGCACTGTCATGCCAAACCAACAGGTGGCGATATAATCTCAACTGTAAAGCCACTTTGGACAATCAGAAGCCTGAAAAAGTCACCAGTAGGCGGAGATAACAGCACAGGCGCCGACGTCACAAGCCAAAAACTCCGGTTTCGCTGTCTACACGATAACACTGCAACCAGAGTTTTTGAAAATCCAGCCCTAGTTAAATTGCACTTGTTTAACATGATCTAATCAACGTTAAAAACGCCGATGAAAGCGGTAAGAATTACGTGAAACATTACTGATGTTCGCGCAGTAGTGAGGGTCACGTGACAACATCAACATGGCGGATGTAGTACGTCCGAATTCCATTCATACTATATAGAACGTACTTTTTTAACGGTGGAGTAGTACGTTCAAATTCAAATGTAGTACCTACTAAGCAGTATGCGATTTCGGACGCACCCCGAGTGTGTCCGAGAGAGAGTGAAAATGCACGCGAAGTCTTAATGTACATCATTAACATAACTCGACTCGCTAATTAACTGTGACTGTAAATTTGACAGGATGTCTTTAGCAGCCAGGAGAATTATTAATAATATTCTTTCAAGTCCAGCTTGAAAATATAGACAAAGCTCTCAATCAAAACAGTCCTTCAGAGAACCAAAGATCTTCAGCAAATGAGGTACAGAGGCTTTTTAATTCCACTACCAAAATGTTACCTACAACGTATGCCGGCCTGCATTTGATTTTTCCCGCAATTTTTGTGGATCAGCCAGAAGCAGGTCCGTAAACATGTCACGGAACAGGTATGTTCTCCTTTGTCTAAATTCGTTAATGGTATATACATTATAACTTGTGATACCCTGACACTTTAAAATGTGACTTTATACTGTGATCAAGCCAGCCACGGTTCAGAAATACACAATCAAACTAGCCACGATTGAAATTAGTATTACTATTATTACCATAATTTCATAAAAACACAAAGAAAACACCGCGTTCGTGTGGACAGGGCCTTAGTTCGGAGATTCGCCGGTACTGCCGCACGAGCGCGAGGTCTTGTTTTCCCAGCGAGCACACTCCTCTCTGTGTCTGCTCTGTTCAGCGAGCAGCTGAGGAGCAGTGCTTTCAGTTAAAAAATATGTTGTGTCGCTTCTAACTCTATTTTAAGTACAAATATAGCCGAAATCACAGCACAGCCATTAGCTGCGTCCGAAATCGCATACTATATAGTAGGCGAAAAACAGTATGCGAGGTGAGTAGTATGTCCGAATTCATAGTATTCGAAAAACAGTAGGCGAGAAGTACCCGGATGACCTACTACTTCCGCCCGAATTCCGTAGCATGCATACGATGGACACTTTACTATCCCATGAGGCCACGGGAGAGGAGGCGTCATATTCGAAAATGGCGGAAGGCGGCGACGCGGCTATTTTCAAGTGCAAGTACCTCAGAGAAAAACGTTGTTCATTATGGTTAAATTTAGGGCTGCGCGTGTAGTACCTACTAAGCAGTATGCGATTTCGGACGCACCCATTGTCTTTATCTTATGTGTATTTGATTTCATTAGACCACGTCCTGATTCAGGATTTTTGTGCAGATTAACATCTAAGGGAGAGCTGGGCCGAGGTTTCAGTCACTATTTCATATTCATCCCGTTGTCTGACAACAGAAACAGACAAATATATCAGTGAAAACAGTTTTATTGAGAATTTGGCTGCGTTAAATTACAGTTTGTGAGCACAGAGGCAAACAAACGTAAAAGGCATATATGACGCGATGACGTCGTGAATATGCTAATTAGCGTATGACGTCATCCAGCGAGAGCTACTTTTCAAGCAGGCTTTAGCTGCTTTCAGTTGAAAGAAGTTGGCAACACCAGGGAAATTTCTAAATTTTCTGAGCTGTATATTGGTACAGTGTCACGGGCACAAATTTGGGGATTAAAAAACTACTTTCCAGGTTTTTTCCTAAACTTTTCCTCTCCGAGGCTGGATTTCATCGCTACTTTTAGTGCGCTCGTTGGCCAGGTGTTTTATTCCAAGGAAGAGGCTTGTTGCTCTTTGTTCTGTGTTGGGATCTGTTGGAGCGAAAGCATGGGAGCGCAATTCTCTAAGACAGCTGGAAAGGAAGAAACAGCTGCAGCTTCACCCTCACCCTCCAAAGCTAACGGACAGGTAAAGCCCGGCCATGGTGCTTATTAGGCGAGTTCTGCTGGAGCCCCACTTCCAACAACCACACAAATTAAACAATTTCTGCAGCCCAGAGAGAGACTTTGTCAGTATTGAATTTAACTACGATCGTAAAATGTGTTTAATGTTGCTCGAATGTTTATATACTGCTAATGGCGGTAGGCGGCGACGCGGCTATTTTCAAGTGCAAGTACCTCAGAGAAAAACGTTGTTCATTATGGTTAAATTTAGGGCTGCGCGATAAATCGCATGCGATATTTAACGCGCATCTTGTCAGTAAAGCCGGTTCTTTAATCAGCGGTAAATCTACATCACCTGCGTGCTTTCACATGGAGCAGCATTAACTACACAGAGCCGTTGTTCACCGACAAGCTGCGCAAACCGACGATCATATTTTGACCAGCTTGTCGGTGAATAACGGCTCTGTGTAATTAATGGCATATATGACGCGATGACGTCGTGAATATGCTAATTAGCGTATGACGTCATCCAGCGAGAGCTACTTTTCAAGCAGGCTTTAGCTGCTTTCAGTTGAAAGAAGTTGGCAACACCAGGGAAATTTCTAAATTTTCTGAGCTGTATATTGGTACAGTGTCACGGGCACAAATTTGGGGATTAAAAAACTACTTTCCAGGTTTTTTCCTAAACTTTTCCTCTCCGAGGCTGGATTTCATCGCTACTTTTAGTGCGCTCGTTGGCCAGGTGTTTTATTCCAAGGAAGAGGCTTGTTGCTCTTTGTTCTGTGTTGGGATCTGTTGGAGCGAAAGCATGGGAGCGCAATTCTCTAAGACAGCTGGAAAGGAAGAAACAGCTGCAGCTTCACCCTCACCCTCCAAAGCTAACGGACAGGTAAAGCCCGGCCATGGTGCTTATTAGGCGAGTTCTGCTGGAGCCCCACTTCCAACAACCACACAAATTAAACAATTTCTGCAGCCCAGAGAGAGACTTTGTCAGTATTGAATTTAACTACGATCGTAAAATGTGTTTAATGTTGCTCGAATGTTTATATACTGCTTTAGAAATCCAGTTTTGGCGTCGTTTTTCCGGAGAAGCCTTTGTTTAGAAACGAGTAGCGTTTAGAATTAAAGATGATTTATCTAAACAAACCAGGAGATGTGGATAATAATTTAGTTTGAATCAGCATTTCTGCCGTCTTGGAAATCATCTTTCAGGGGGAAGTGGGGGTTGATTGTTAGAGTAACAATGGCTCGCCACGCCTTTAGTCGCAGATGCTCGATAGACGCTTCAGTATCACTGAAGAGCAATTAAAACCGGTGTATTTATCTTTACATTAAGTTGTGCCGTAATGGCCATTTATACAATCTGTGTGTGATGAGGTTCAATAATTATGTGCTGATCAGTTGGCATTTGCTTTTTTTTGGTCGGTTTATTCCACGCGTTTATGGACAAGCGGCGCCCACCGGTGGCTGTGGCAGTGTAATGCGCGTGCGAATGAGAGTGTTTACCCATAAATGGTCTTTGATAATATCATATGTGACCCTGGACCACAAAACCAGTCATAAGGGTCATTTTTTTGGAAATTGAGATTTTTACATCATCTGAAAGCTGAATAAATATGCTTTCCATTGATGTGTTTGTTAGAGTGGGAAAATATTTGGCTGAGATGCAACTATTTGAAAATCTGGAATCTGAGGGTGCGAAACAATCTAAATATTGAGAAAATCGCCTTTAAAGTTGTCCAAATTAAGTCCTTAGAAATGCATATTACTAACCAAAATGTACGTTTTAATATTTACGGTAGTAAATTTACAAAATATCTTCATGGAACATGATCTTTACTTAATATCCTAATGATTTTGGCATAAAAGAAAAATCAATCATTTAGACCCATACAATGTATTTTTGGCTATTGCTACAAATATACCGGTGCTACTTATTACTGGTTTTGTGCTCCAGGGTCACACATGCATCAAATGGAAGCAGTCCCCTTTCAGTGCATAAAATTGCATTTGTATTTGCAGCCTGCACTGTGTCTTGGTAGTGCTCATGTTAAGTCAAGCTTAATAATGATTGTGCCTGTGTTTTGCTTTAGGAAAATGGCCATGTGAAGGTGAACGGAGACGCATCTCCAGCGGCTGCTGAGGAGATAGAAGAGGTTCACGCTAACGGCAGTGCGGCAGCTGAGGAGGGAGAGAAGGCTGAGGCATCTCCAGCTGAAAAGGAGGCTGTGGAGGGAGATCAAGCAAACACAGAAGTGAGTGCAGCCACTGAAGAGGAGGCCGCGAAAGCTGAGGAAGACGCAACTCCATCCACAAGCAACGAGATGCCGAAGAAGAAGAAGCGCTTCTCTTTTAAGAAGTCCTTCAAGTTGAGCGGCTTCTCTTTTAAGAAAACCAAGAAGGAGACGGGGGATGGAGATGGCGGTGAGGAGGCCAAAACCGAGGGAGCTGAAGCTGTTGAAGGAGGTGTGTCAGAAGAGAAGGAGGCAGAATCCAAACCAGAGGAGAAACCAGTAGAGGAGCCCGAGGCTGCCAGTCCTGCCCCTGAGGAGTCCAAAGAGGATGAGAAACCCACAGCGGTGACAGAGCCTGCTCCTTCTAAGGATGAAGCACCTGTAGCAGAGGAATCCACTCCCACTGTTCAAGAAGCAGAATCCAGTCCAGAGGTCCATGCAGAATCTGCCACAGAGTAATGTGCACAGTGCAGATCAACAGAGAAAGGAGGGGGGGACGACAACAACAGATAATCAAGGCATATTTCCCTGTTGTACAGTGGAGTGGTCCCAGGTTATGAGACGTTGGAGAACTAAAGAGCTTTTTAGTCTTTACTTTTTTATACATTTTCCCTCTTCCCAAATCTCCCTCTTCCTTTGTGGCTATTCCTGTAGCTGCGAAAAATGGGTGGCTACATTAAATAATACAGAAAATTTTGAATTAGTCTCTCATATATATTTTTGCATCAGTATTAACTGATGGTTTAGGGGTCAAAGAGGGGTGCAGGGATTGGGAATGAGGGTTTTTAATGGCACCTTGATGACTTGCGTTACACCACAGACCATGTAGTAGTACAAAAACAGAACGACCATTAATTCATCCACTACAGTTTTCAACACTAAAGTGCTTTTTTTTTAATATATAATAACAAGCCAATTTAACTTGCAATGCCAAGTTTAAAACAGCAATTTTAAAAGTCCTGGGAACTTTAAACACTTTTTTTTTTTTTTATTTTTTTAGCTGTAACCATCTGAATTCAGTAGGAAAACAATTTGCATATGCTTTATGGTGTATTGCTGGTTCTATGAGCTTATTAAAGTGTAAGTATGTATAGAAGGGGTGTTTTAACTGTGATTGTACAAATGATATCTTGATCTCAAGAAGCACATGCAGCTCTTCTATCACCAAGTCTGTTTTTGTAAGTCATCCTCAGACCATTGGAACATTTTTTTTTTAACTCAAACCAAGCTGTGACACGTATTCCTGTTTATACTGTGGTTTTTGATGCTTTTCAGTGGTCTTTTGAATAAAATTAAGGAACCTATCAGATGCAATGTTTGTGTAGCATCTTGTCTCTTTCTTTTGTAAATATTGGAGAAGCTTTTACCTTTGACTTAGAGATTGAATGTAACTTTGCTTACAAAATTGATATTAAAACTTCTCTGCTGAAGGTGTTCTAAATTTTATGTGAACACACTAAAAGCCAAATAAATGTGAATGAAATTTGAATTGGTGTGTCTCTTTGTCTTACATTTAGCAATAAATTAGTGGCCATTATTGATTTTTAATCAGTTGTGTTTAAAAAAAGCTACTAAAATGTGATCTCACCAAATCTGAGCAAGTGATATCTATAGTCATGGAAGTAGAAATGGTTGTTTTGAATCATGCCTTGCTTCCTACCAGGATTCAGCTCTACACTCCAAATGCAAGTAACTTGCTTTATTTACAGTCTAAGGTTTTCCTTCTGCTAACCCACCCAACAGGTGGCTTTGGTGTTTGCAAACACATGAGCTGAGAAAGCCTTTTCCAAACCGTTGGCTTATTATACTATGTACTTCCTTTAGTGCAACCACTTCCTTTAACCTTTTAGAGGTGAAATCATTCTTTCATAGGGAGTGTACTCTGAATCAAACCCTGTGGCCCAACAGTGCTATTCAATACTACAATGACACCATAAAGCAGTACCCGAATGTATAGCAGCCCCACCCAAAGTTCTCCAAAGATCAAGTTCACACACATGTATACAGACAAAAAGAGAGAGCGAAATCTGCTGTTGGAGAACACACCTTGACCCCATGAAGAGACCAATATGCACAATAAAGACCAGGAGTCAAAGTTGAAGTTTAAATAGAGAGAGTTCTCCACATCTCCAAAGGCTGCAGAAAAATGAAAGAATCCAGCCTCAAATTAGCTTCGGATACAGAAGCACTAATACTTATAGCAGGGATTTGCAGAGAGTTCCTAGGGGGCAAGTGCTCAAATGTAAAAAAAGGGGCATTTATATACAGATTTAACAGAGGCGGACAGTAACTAAGTACATTTACTTGAGTATTGTACTTAAGTACACTTTTTGAGTATCTGTACTTTACTTGAGTATTATTTTTTCTGGGAACTTATGACTTTAACTTCACTACATTTGAAAGACAAATATTGTACTTTTCACTCCACTACATTTCTATCAAGGTCCTTGAAGTAGAAAGTCGTTACTATGTAGCAGCTTTGAAAGTCAGTGGGTGATTTTTTTCTTCTCTAAAACGTGACTTTCTTTCTTTTTCAGACAGTTTATCAGTAATCACTCTTGTAGGGCTACATGAAGTGATTTCCCAGCATTTTTTGAACACTGAGTTGCAGATGTGATATTTCTTTACAACAATTCAATAATAAGAAGTTAATATTGTGGCATATATTAGACACAATACTGTCTGATTTTGCTAAATTGTGTATGTGAAAATATTAACTATAAAGCAACAGAAGAACTGTTGTGCATCTCCTAATAAAACACAAAAGGTGTTGAGGCTGGATTTCATCGCTACTTTTAGTGCGCTCGTTGGTCAGGTGTTTTATTCCAAGGAAGAGGCTTGTTGCTCTTTGTTCTGTGTTGGGATCTGTTGGAGCGAAAGCATGGGAGCGCAATTCTCTAAGACAGCTGGAAAGGAAGAAACAGCTGCAGCTTCACCCTCACCCTCCAAAGCTAACGGACAGGTAAAGCCCGGCCATGGTGCTTATTAGGCGAGTTCTGCTGGAGCCCCACTTCCAACAACCACACAAATTAAACAATTTCTGCAGCCCAGAGAGAGACTTTGTCAGTATTGAATTTAACTACGATCGTAAAATGTGTTTAATGTTGCTCGAATGTTTATATACTGCTTTAGAAATCCAGTTTTGGCGTCGTTTTTCCGGAGAAGCCTTTGTTTAGAAACGAGTAGCGTTTAGAATTAAAGATGATTTATCTAAACAAACCAGGAGATGTGGATAATAATTTAGTTTGAATCAGCATTTCTGCCGTCTTGGAAATCATCTTTCAGGGGGAAGTGGGGGTTGATTGTTAGAGTAACAATGGCTCGCCACGCCTTTAGTCGCAGATGCTCGATAGACGCTTCAGTATCACTGAAGAGCAATTAAAACCGGTGTATTTATCTTTACATTAAGTTGTGCCGTAATGGCCATTTATACAATCTGTGTGTGATGAGGTTCAATAATTATGTGCTGATCAGTTGGCATTTGCTTTTTTTTGGTCGGTTTATTCCACGCGTTTATGGACAAGCGGCGCCCACCGGTGGCTGTGGCAGTGTAATGCGCGTGCGAATGAGAGTGTTTACCCATAAATGGTCTTTGATAATATCATATGTGACCCTGGACCACAAAACCAGTCATAAGGGTCATTTTTTTGGAAATTGAGATTTTTACATCATCTGAAAGCTGAATAAATATGCTTTCCATTGATGTGTTTGTTAGAGTGGGAAAATATTTGGCTGAGATGCAACTATTTGAAAATCTGGAATCTGAGGGTGCGAAACAATCTAAATATTGAGAAAATCGCCTTTAAAGTTGTCCAAATTAAGTCCTTAGAAATGCATATTACTAACCAAAATGTACGTTTTAATATTTACGGTAGTAAATTTACAAAATATCTTCATGGAACATGATCTTTACTTAATATCCTAATGATTTTGGCATAAAAGAAAAATCAATCATTTAGACCCATACAATGTATTTTTGGCTATTGCTACAAATATACCGGTGCTACTTATTACTGGTTTTGTGCTCCAGGGTCACACATGCATCAAATGGAAGCAGTCCCCTTTCAGTGCATAAAATTGCATTTGTATTTGCAGCCTGCACTGTGTCTTGGTAGTGCTCATGTTAAGTCAAGCTTAATAATGATTGTGCCTGTGTTTTGCTTTAGGAAAATGGCCATGTGAAGGTGAACGGAGACGCATCTCCAGCGGCTGCTGAGGAGATAGAAGAGGTTCACGCTAACGGCAGTGCGGCAGCTGAGGAGGGAGAGAAGGCTGAGGCATCTCCAGCTGAAAAGGAGGCTGTGGAGGGAGATCAAGCAAACACAGAAGTGAGTGCAGCCACTGAAGAGGAGGCCGCGAAAGCTGAGGAAGACGCAACTCCATCCACAAGCAACGAGATGCCGAAGAAGAAGAAGCGCTTCTCTTTTAAGAAGTCCTTCAAGTTGAGCGGCTTCTCTTTTAAGAAAACCAAGAAGGAGACGGGGGATGGAGATGGCGGTGAGGAGGCCAAAACCGAGGGAGCTGAAGCTGTTGAAGGAGGTGTGTCAGAAGAGAAGGAGGCAGAATCCAAACCAGAGGAGAAACCAGTAGAGGAGCCCGAGGCTGCCAGTCCTGCCCCTGAGGAGTCCAAAGAGGATGAGAAACCCACAGCGGTGACAGAGCCTGCTCCTTCTAAGGATGAAGCACCTGTAGCAGAGGAATCCACTCCCACTGTTCAAGAAGCAGAATCCAGTCCAGAGGTCCATGCAGAATCTGCCACAGAGTAATGTGCACAGTGCAGATCAACAGAGAAAGGAGGGGGGGACGACAACAACAGATAATCAAGGCATATTTCCCTGTTGTACAGTGGAGTGGTCCCAGGTTATGAGACGTTGGAGAACTAAAGAGCTTTTTAGTCTTTACTTTTTTATACATTTTCCCTCTTCCCAAATCTCCCTCTTCCTTTGTGGCTATTCCTGTAGCTGCGAAAAATGGGTGGCTACATTAAATAATACAGAAAATTTTGAATTAGTCTCTCATATATATTTTTGCATCAGTATTAACTGATGGTTTAGGGGTCAAAGAGGGGTGCAGGGATTGGGAATGAGGGTTTTTAATGGCACCTTGATGACTTGCGTTACACCACAGACCATGTAGTAGTACAAAAACAGAACGACCATTAATTCATCCACTACAGTTTTCAACACTAAAGTGCTTTTTTTTTAATATATAATAACAAGCCAATTTAACTTGCAATGCCAAGTTTAAAACAGCAATTTTAAAAGTCCTGGGAACTTTAAACACTTTTTTTTTTTGCTGTAACAGTCTGTGAATTCAGTGGGGAAACAATTTGCATATGCTTTATAGTGTATTGCTGGTTCTACGAGCTTATTCAAGTGTAAGTATGTATAGACGGGGTGTTTTAACTGTGATTATTGTACAAATGATATCTTGATCTCAAGAAGCACATGCAGCTCTTCTATCACCAAGTCTGTTTTTGTAAGTCATCCTCAGACCATTGGAACATTTTTTTTTTAACTCAAACCAAGCTGTGACACGTATTCCTGTTTATACTGTGGTTTTTGATGCTTTTCAGTGGTCTTTTGAATAAAATTAAGGAACCTATCAGATGCAATGTTTGTGTAGCATCTTGTCTCTTTCTTTTGTAAATATTGGAGAAGCTTTTACCTTTGACTTAGAGATTGAATGTAACTTTGCTTACAAAATTGATATTAAAACTTCTCTGCTGAAGGTGTTCTAAATTTTATGTGAACACACTAAAAGCCAAATAAATGTGAATGAAATTTGAATTGGTGTGTCTCTTTGTCTTACATTTAGCAATAAATTAGTGGCCATTATTGATTTTTAATCAGTTGTGTTTAAAAAAAGCTACTAAAATGTGATCTCACCAAATCTGAGCAAGTGATATCTATAGTCATGGAAGTAGAAATGGTTGTTTTGAATCATGCCTTGCTTCCTACCAGGATTCAGCTCTACACTCCAAATGCAAGTAACTTGCTTTATTTACAGTCTAAGGTTTTCCTTCTGCTAACCCACCCAACAGGTGGCTTTGGTGTTTGCAAACACATGAGCTGAGAAAGCCTTTTCCAAACCGTTGGCTTATTATACTATGTACTTCCTTTAGTGCAACCACTTCCTTTAACCTTTTAGAGGTGAAATCATTCTTTCATAGGGAGTGTACTCTGAATCAAACCCTGTGGCCCAACAGTGC